GGTTTCGGGGACATGCAGTACACTGGAGGGTTACGCCGCAGTACACCGCACCGTACCGCAGTGCCCTCTCCCCCCTTGCCCCGCTCGCAGCCCTTTAACCCCACACACAGCGACCGCACACCTGACCATACCCGGGGTCCACGGCTAACTAGCAAGCTTCAAAACCAGCTGCTTCACCGCCGCCTAGAACCCAAAGCTCCCCCCTAACCCCCAACGTATACACACACATACACACATATACACACATATACACACATACACACACATACACACACATACACACACATACACACACATACACACATACACACATACACACATACACACACGCACCTGCCCGGGTCCCGGTCACACACTGCCCGCAGTAGCGCCCCTCGGGTAGCCCTCAGTGCGGCCGGGGGCTCCCGGGCTCCAGGGGCGGTCAGTCCGTTGAGGGCGGACTCCACCAGGGGCCAGCCACGACCTGACGGGAAGGGAAGGGTGTAGCGGCGGCGGCGGCGGCGGCGGCGGTCAGCAGCAGTGTTCATGGTCTTGTTCAGATAGCAGGTATTGCCGCCCGGCCAGGACGAGCAACATGATGGGGGGGAACACAAGGAATAGCCACATGGGACATACACGTACATAAACAATGTACATGTACATCTACATCTACAGATAGAGATTTACATACACATACACATACACACCAACCAAAGACACGCCCCCAACAGCCCCCCTATCCCCACCGCTGATGAGCCACGTATCACACAGCAGCTTGAGGGCCAGGCAGCGCAACGCCGCGGGACTCTCAGGCTGTAGCATGGGCTGCAGCACCCGCAGCGCGTACGGCGCTACTGCCGGATCGGCCGCCATGACGGGCAACAACTGCAATAACGCAAGCTGCGCGCGGCTGCCGTCGATAGCGGCCGTGGCGGCGGCGGCGGCGGCGGCGGCGGCGGCGGTGCTACCGCGCCGCAGCTGGTACATGACTAGCGGCAGTAACGGCAGCGCCGCCGCTGGCAGAAGCTGGATGAGCTGGCAAGCAGCGGTCGCAGCTGCGGCAATGACCCGTGGGTCGGGGTGCACGAACAGCGCCGCCAGCAGGCAGGTTAGCGCCGGATGAGCGTCTGCTGCGCCGAGCGCTGCTTCCGAAACCACGTCACTGATCTTGGTCGCGAAAGGAAGCTGCTCCGAAGCCGCTTTGGCGGCCGCCGCCACACGCCTCCGCTGTCGTAGCGCAAGCTCCAGGGAACGCAGCCAGCGGAGCAGATCGCAGGGCGGCGGTGGCAGCTGGGACGATATCGATCCGCCTGTGCGGCTTTCCCCAGCCGCCTCAGCAGTGGCCCCAGCCCACAACGACAGCAATAGCAGGCGGCACTGTCGCTGTAGACATAAATCACCGTGTGATTGATCCGAGCTCATGCCGCTACCGCTATCAGGGGTGCCGCCGCTGCCGCTGCCGCTGCCGTCATCCATGATCCGTTGCAGCGCCGTCGCCAGGTGGGCCGGCCAGGCCGCCGCCGGTACGGCAGCGCTGGCGGCGCCGGTTGGTGCTGACGTGCCGAAGGCGACCGCCGCCAGCAGCGGTTGCAGAGACATTGCCGCATCGCCGGCTTGGAGCTTTGCTGACATTTCGCGAGGGTGCTGGTGTTGCTGCTGTTGTTGTCCTTGGCCTTCGTCGTGGTCATTGTGGTGCTGAAGGGCCTTATGCAGCAGCAGGTGCAGCCCCTGGAGCTCCTGTACGGCAGATTACACAACTCCTTCAAATGATACCGCACGCGACATGCCGTACTCCACAGTTTTCGATATCCCGCACTCAGTCCGGACTCCTGAATACAAATGAACCCCTAAGCACAGCACAGCACAGCAGAGGACGCATCGTTTTCCCGTGCACAATGCTCCCTTCGAAACACCGGAGGATCGCTCCCCCAGTCCTAGCTACCCGCCAACCCCTGAATGTGTGGCTTTACGCCGCTATGGGGTCGCCTAAGAAAACCACAAGACGCAAAACCACAAAGCCTCCAACGTGGCCGCACCTTTCCATGCGCGCTGAGGGTCAGGAGGGACAACGCGGCAAGGTGGCCCTGCAGCGCAGTCGGCGCCAGCGCCTGCAATCGCACCAGCGCAGCTACAACTTCCTGAGCGCCGCCGCCGCCGCCGCCGCCGCCGCTGCCGCCGGCAGAAACCACCATGATCTCAAACGCCAGTTGCAGCAGCACGGCAGCGACAGACGCCGCTGCCGCATCCGCATCCGCGCCGCTGCCGCGGTCTTGCATCTTGCCCGCCACCGGCGCCTCTTCCTCGCTATCGTACAGTACGGCTTGCAGTATGTCCAGCAGGTCCGTCGTGGATTGTACGGCACGCATTCTGTAGTGTAAGCAACACACACGGGGGAGGCCCGGGCGCTGGCGGCCTGGTTCAGGTGCTCGTAATCGCTGCGCCCGGAGAACTTTGAGCCAGACCTGTGACATGCCCGCTCACCCTTGTTCAACACGGCCACCACCACCACCTCCAACAACACCAACAGCAACAACAACAACAACAACAACAGCAGCAGCAACAACAACAACAGCAACAACAGCAACACGCAGCAGCACGGTCCCCAGCCCACCTGTCCACCTCCGCAGCCCGAGGACTCAGGGCCAGATGGCCAGTCAAGAACTCCAACAGCCGCCGCCGTAACCACCGAGGCGCGCCGTACGGCTCGCCGACCGCTAGCCGTACAAGTTGACTGTGCAGCCAAGCGGACAGCGCAACGGATGCCAGAGCGGAACCGGAAGAAGTACTGCCGGCGGCGGCGGCGGCGGCGAAGACGGAGCCGCTGACACCGCCGCTGCCGCCGCCGCCGGCTCGTTCCGCAGCGGATGACGGGTGGCGCTGCGCGTTCCGTGCGGTTGGGTACGGCAAGCGGGCAGCAGTCGTAAGTCATACAACGGCTGGTACTGGATGGCTGAGATTTCATACGCTACCGGCAGGGCTGGTTGAGGATCAAGGCTCCGCGTAGTAATGTACGGCAACACGGATGGCCGAGCGTGCATGTCCACGCCTGTGTTTGCATGTGCAGCATTTAGAGACCGGTTTTGGGGTTTTAGGGTTGTCTGGTTGTCTGTTGGGTAGCCCCCTAGGTTCTTACCACCTGGTCAGACGTCCCTGGACGCGTGTGTGTGCGTCTGTCTGCCTGCCTGTCTGTCTGTCTGTCTGTGTGTGTGTGTGTGTCTGTCTGTCTGTCTGTGTATGCGTCTGTCTGTCTATGTGTCTGTGTGTGTGCCTGTGTGTGCCTGTCTGTCTGTTTGTGTCTGTTTGTGTGTCTGTGTCTCCCACATTAACACGGCGGGGAAGCGGAACCAGGCAGGGAGGCGGCAATTCGGGCTTTCCTCTACCCAGACGAAAAGGACCTCAAAGCCCCGGAACGGTGTGGGGGGCGGAACGGGCCTTCCGGGGTGTCTCCGTCACCCACCGGGGCTAACCTCTTACTTGACCCACTTTGCATTTACTACGTCTCCCTATCTCTCTCCCTATATATGTACATATGTATGTAAGTATAATTGTGTATCTAGAAGGACCCATCTCCTGTCAGCAGCATCCAACGGCCGACCTGAAGCAGCACAAAGCTGAAGAAGGGCTCCAAAGAACACCAAACACGCTCCAGGGACGATTCAGCAGCAGCAGCTGCACCTGGCGTTGTGGCTGCCGCGATGCCCCGGTCGCCCCCGCCGCCGCCAGCGGCTGCTGCCGCAGCGGCTGAAGCGGCCGCGACTGCGGCTGCTGCTACTGCCGCCATGGCACTGCTGAGCAGCTGCGTGGCGGCTGCGGGGCACGACAGCAGCGCCGCCACCAAGGGGTGACTGGCCCAGCGGTTGGGGCGGAGCAGAGGCCGCAGGGGAGCTGCGGTCACCACCTGACCGGAGGTACCTTCTGTGGGCGAAGCGAAGAGGAGGACGGGGCAAGGGGGTGACCCAACTGATGTGGGAGGATGAGGAGGCGGCCCGCCGGCCGGTGTAAGTGGCGTCTGGTAGGTAAGAGTTTGGAGGAGGGGGAGGGGGGAAAAGATGAACCACGAACGAGTGAGGCTGCTGATGAGGAGGAGGGGAAAGATACGAACCACAAACGAGTAAAGCTGCTGCCCCAGGGCAAGCGTGTGCCAGACGTAGAACTGACCGAAAGGCGTCCGTGAAGGAGGAGGGGGAGGGGGAGGGGGAGGTTTAGCGGATTAGGGGGGTGTTACAGAGCGACATACGGCGCAGGAGAGTGGTAGGGCTCGACAAGCCGAGGGGTTTCAAGGCCCATTCAGGTTCATGTGCACGCACCCCCCCTCACCCGGCCGACTAGCACTCCGGCGCTGATGTTCGGGCAGCATGTGGCCGTCAGACCATCAGGCCAAGAGGCTCTAATAGCCCTAATAGCTCTGATAGCTCCAGGCAAAGACCAGCCACGGGAGGGCAACCCCCCAGAGGCCTATCGCGGACCAAGGAAGTGCCGCAAAGGCAAAACATCGACATCAGAGCACCCGAAGTAGCAGCATACAGGAAGAGAGTGGTAACTGGCGGGCAAGTGAATAGATCCTGGTCCTGGTCCGCTCACCTGCCGTGCCGACACCGACCCGCGGGTCGGCAGCTGGCGACACCACCAGTCGGCACAACGCATCCGCCAGCGGCCCTGCTGTCGCCGGCCCTGCGTCCATACACACATACATACATACATACATACATACATACATTCATATATTCACCCACAAATCCATTCATCCATCCATTCGCTCGATCATTCAATAATTCATTCGTGTATCCGGGTATCCGTGTTGGGCTCATTCTTCACAATAACGAGACCGTCGGCCCCCGCATGGCCGACGTCAACACCACCGCACCGCACATCCTGATGACTGTGCCCCGATGTGTCTCTGCGTGGCAAAACTCTGTGTGGAATCCCCGGGTTGCTGACCGCTGGTCGGTGAATGGAGGGACACATTGCGCCGGCTGGAATCCCCCCCGGGGTATCTGGGGAACTCGTTTTGCGTCGAGGGGAAAACTCGTTAATACAGTAACCCAGTGCGATGTCTTGTAACGCATCGGGCTCGATGAAATGCGTGTGCGTACGTGCGTTGCATCAAGCGTGCGTCGTCCACTCCCGTAATCACGCGGGTCGGGTGGGGGTTCCGATGGTGCACCGGGAAACGCAGGGGTGGGGGAGGGGGAGGAGGAATGATCCTCTGCCGCCGAGCAGGTGCCGCACCTGCTGTGGTGATGGCGCTCAGGAGGAACTCCGCCGCCTCGGCTGCCGGCAGGACTGCGCACAGGTTACGCGCGCAATGATTATTTGTGCAAATGGAATGAAAGGGGTGGGGGAAGAGGGTATGTGAAACGGTGGAAGCTCTGGCGGCGATACGCCTAGTGGCCTGTGGAGAGTGGCTGGGGTGTTTGCCACGGCTGGACACGGCGTATAGCAGGAAGCAGGCCGGCAGAAGGGAGTTCCCGGGCTGGAAATATGCGCGTTAGAGAACCCACCACCGGTCAATGCCAGCGATATAAGCTGGTCAGCAGCCTCCTGGGCGATAACCTGCAGGGGGTGAGGAATTTGAAGCAATACTTGCATCACAATCGGGCTCCGTTAGACACCGGCAAGAATCGAACAATATGGGTTTTGGTAGCCGTGACCAGTCGGAATTGCGCACCCGATAAGGTCTGGATAAACATAGCGTTATGGCCGCAGCTCGATCGTCCGCGCTGACGCTCGGCTTTCGCAGCGTCGCAAAGATGCCCGCCACCGCGTGTCGTGCAACTATTGGAGAATTGGTAGCCTGCAACCTCCGCTGCTGGCTTACGAGCATATCGGATATGGACATGGTGGATGAGCGTATTCTAAAGATTGAACACTAGCGTGCCCGTGGTCGTTCACATTTCGGCTTTATCTACTTGGTCTTCGCTAACATATGTGTAAATAATTCTTGGCGTATTCATGTATCATGTGACGGAAAGATATTCTCCTCTTTGTCGCTGAGTAGGTGCGAAGACAGCTAGTGGTCTTAGTAACGGCTAACGACCAACCAACGTGGCGCAGCTGAACTGAACTGCTGAAATGCTGACGACTAAACAGGTCAAGGTCAACCCTCACACTTTAGGGCTAGCTCAAAAGATGAGCAAGGCACGTTGTCATGCATAGAACCTTCATTGCTCGATGACCAGGAGTTGTAAAACAACATCCTTTTGTGTGTGACGTGAAACCCAGGGGGTAACAAATTGATTACCCTTTGGTGCAACCCTCTTCAAAGTAGTGTTGATGCCAGATGCGTAATGCCATGACCACTCGGCAAGCCGACGGGAGCCAAAACATTCCATAAACTTCTTGCGCAGCTCGAAAGCTCAGGGTGACCAATGGCGCCAAAAACACAGTGTCAGATACAAAGGGATGTCAAGTTCCGCAATTCGCATTCTGCGGGGCCCGGCCATATCACCATCCTGGGACCCATGCGCTATCTGCCGCCAAACTGACTGCGATCTAACAGATGCGACCACGGCACACAAAGCAGGTGTCCAATCGACCGCTGATATCCACTTACAGCTCTGCCACACCTTTTACACCGCCACATCCCGCTGCATGGCCCGCCTCGGCCACTCGGCTAATAAATAAAATCAAAATCGTCACGTGACCACCAGGAACCCGGCCCGAGCTGCGAGTTCAAAAACCTGTCCGGGGTTTGGCGTGATTCGCCAGCTAGTGGCACGACCACACCCGCGTTCCTTTACGCTGTAACACTTTATCGAATTACAACTCTTCGGACATTACGACTCACGTTTCATCCAGAGACGTCATCGAGGTTATTCAGAAAGAAAGGTGCGCTTCAGTCTGAGTCTCAGGCGCCTGAGGGGCTGTTGCAGGTGGCAGGTGGTTCATCAGGGTGCACCGTGCCCCGCTGCTGCGGCGGCAGGGGGTGCGCGGCCAACCAGTCGGCCATGACACGGCGCAGCTCCTGCGGCTGGTCGGACTGAATCCAATGGGAGCAGTGGGGCAAGATATGGATCTCGGATTTTGGAGCCACCTGCATGTACGGCACGCGCATGTACGGCATCATGCTTTCTCACGCAACGGTCATTTCATTCATTTCGCACAACGCCGGTGCCGAGACCCGAGTATAAGCTCTATGTTGCTAATACTACATTACATTGCCGTACATTGTCGTACCTCCGCTACACCAATAAGGTTGGTCACGAGGAGTGCGTGGTCCTCGCCACCCCACACCACCAGCACGGGGATCTCTAGCTGCCGCCGCAGCGCCCGGTCGACCTGCATACCGGGGCCGGGTGCAGGTCACATTGTCACATACAAATGATACTCTAGCATGGTACGTTGTGGTACGGTGCTCTACGGCACGACACGGTACGGGACTGCCCTACCCTGGCAAACCAATGAACCCCACGTCCATTGCTCCTGCTTCCCCCTCTTGCCGCAACTCCCGGCCCAGACCCTAAGGAAACCTGCAATGCCCAGAGAAATCCCCCCTCTCATAATCAGGGTGAGTCAGGACCATGTGCCCCCGGCCCAGCCTTAAGGAATGGTCCTAGTCCCCGGTCCTTATGCCCCCACGTGGTTTCTTCCCCCTCTCAGCTCGAGGCCCTCGATAGATAGCCCCCGGTGGTGCGCTGCGTCCGCTGCGTCCGCTGCGTCCCTCCCTACCTCCGAGGAGAGGGGCAGCAGTCCCACATCCGTAGCCAGCATCGCCCGGTAGTAGTTGAGCGCGCCGGTGGGGGCCCCGGGCTGCAGCAGCTCCCGCTTGTAGACCTCCACATCCTCGGGGCTGACAGCGAGGCCAGGCGTGCGCGGGGCAGCCGGGCCGCGACGCAGCCACATGTCCTCCAGCAGCTTGCCGTCGTGGTGAGTGAGGGCCAATTCCGGAAGGATGGGCATCTGCCCCCGGGGGTGATGCAGGGTGGGTGTAGTCATGCCGTAGGCTCTCTCCTAGGGCAATCCTGATACCTTCCGCACACAGGCCTGACACCTATGACAGGCCTGACACCTACGGCCCCAAGTGATCCCTCGCCCTCCCTCACTCCCCCCACCCCCCACACACATGCACCTTCACGCACCTGGAACATCAGGAAGTAGCTGGAACGCGCCATTTGGGAGACGGTCAGGTTGCGCCTGTACAACAGCCAGTGGGGCGCCGCCAGCACGATCAGGCGGTCCACAAGGCCCGGGTAGCGCCCTGCAGTCGCCCACGCCACCGCACCGCCCCAGTCGTGGCCCACTAGCGTGCAGCTGCTACGACCCAGCGCCGAAACCGCACCGGCCACGTCCGAAGACAAGTGCTCCATGGCGTAAGCTGCGATGCCCTGCCCCGGCCATTCACACAGGGCATATGGAATATTAATAAGGAATCAGTAATCTAAATTGAAATTCCTATGGAACGAATACTAATGTGTATTTGAAGGCAAGCGGTGCAGTAGCGCTGTACAGCAAAGCTGGGGGCCGGCAGCGGATGTTGGAGCGCGGTTGGACGGATGATGTGTTGGTGGGACCTCCGTCTGGTGACGACACCGAGGAGGTGTCTGGATGGCGCCGCCACCTGACTGACATCGGAAACACTGGGCTCGGCAACGGAGTTGCGAGATCCAGTTGCCAGATCTGGATGCCCCGCCCCAGCCGACGCGCTCTACCCGACCTACAGGCCGCGACGTGGGTTGGTGGGCCCCCCGGGTGGCCGAGCCTATGGGCACCTCCCCCCCTCAGGCAAGGCGGTCCCCCTGCCCTGCCCAGGCCAGCCTACATGAGGCTCCATGCACCGCACCCCCCGCCCCTCGCCGCGTCCCGTAAGCCACATACCAGCGGCTTGTCGGAGAAGCCGTAACCTCGCATATCCAGCGCCACTACGTCGTACTCGGACCGGAAGTCCGCCAGCTGCCGCCGCCAGCTGTACCAGCACTCCGGAAAGCCGTGAAGGAAAAGCATCAGCGGCTTGTGGGGCTGGCGGCCGAAGCTGACGGCGTGAAGCCTGTGACGGCGTGACGGGGAGAGGATAACGAACGACGAGGAGAGACCGAACAAAGTGTGGGACGAAGTCTGGTCGAAGAGGTAACGGGTTTCTCTAGCCATGATGCGTGGGGCGTACAACCTTGGGGAGTAGCTAATACGGAAGATAATTAGATGGCATGCACGTGCACATGCAAATGCACATGCACATGCACATGCACACCTGGGAGGACCAGCGAGCGGGTACATGAAGGGGCAATGACAAGCTGCGACAGTGGCACCAGCGGCCGATAAGAGGTGTGGCGGTGCCGCTGGTCAAATCGGAAAGGCAGCAGGTGGCCAAGTATTGGTGACCCAGACTGTGCAAGAGGTGCAATGGCGTCCGGGGGAACGCGCCTGCCCCGAGGGTGTCCCGGGAGGCCAGACAGCACAGTCTGGCACACTCCGGCAGCAAGTTGTCTCCGAGTTCTGGATCCTCCCCCTCCCCCTCCCCCTCCCCCTCACCTCACTCCCCCGCCCACGTCCAGGTGCTCGTGGGTGAGTCCCTCCAGGCTTTCACGGACACCAGAAGGGAGCACCACGTCCTCGGGACGGCGAGGGCGGGGCTTGCGGCTCAGGAAGGTGATCGGGCTGCATGAGCGACCCACGGGTCATGCAGGGGGACCATATTGTGGTGTATCAAAAGGGTATCTCGCGGCGCAGTTTATGGTAATGGTATTGTACTATTGTAATGGTATTGTACTATTGTAATGGTATTGTAATAATGTAATGGTATTGTAATAATGTAATGGTATTGTACTATTGTAATGGTATTGTACTATTGTAATGGTATTGTAATAATGTAATGGTATTGTAATAATCTAATGGTATTGTAATATTGTAATGGTATTGTAATATTGTAATGGTATTGTAATATTGTAATGGTATTGTAATAATGTAATGGTATTGTAATAATCTAATGGTATTGTAATATTGTAATGGTATTGTGGTATTGGTATATGGCGACGGACCCTCCAGTGGTGGTGACGGTGTTATTACGTGCCCTGTCTGATGGAGCCGACACACAGGCGACGATAAAGATTTACTCGTGTGTCACCCCCTCGCCCCGTTCCTGGGCCCCCCCCCCGCGCCACAGCCGGTTAAAGCACGTGCGAAAAAAAGGGCTCCAGCGGAGCAAGGAGGTGTCGCAGCAACAACACGCGGCGCGCTGCGATGCCCCGTGACTCGTCGACTTCGCCGGCACGGCATTCCGTATTGCAGCTACTAGCACAACGAAGCGCCATCAACGTCTGCGACTTCTCACTTCTTCACCCGCTACACGGGTGTGTGTCCGTCACATTGGAGGCCGCACTCCGTTGGAACTGTACGGAGACAACTACCGGAAATCGACGTACTCAAACTGGGAGGCTAATCATGCCCATCTACATGCCGCCCAGCCAGACACACACACACACCCACACATACACACGCGCATGCGCATACCACAACACACATGCACCCACGCACGTGCCTTTTGATGAACTCCCACAACACAAAGGCCGCCAGCACAGCCCACATCCAGGGAAGGAATACCAGATAGACAGCAGACAGCAGAGGGCCGCTGACGGACCTGACGCCCTGACGTGACGTGACGTGACGAGATGCCGGGAGGGAAGGTGCAGGAGGACGGTGGTGCGGCATTTGTGGTGCATGAGTCGTGTGAGGGAAAAGAGGGAAGCTTGTTCAGGGCAGGGCGCTAGAACAGGCATACAGTCACGTGAAGCCAATTAAGCGCCGTCTTTCGGGTCTTCAAAGGCGAGAGGCAGCAGCCCCTCCAGGCCTCCCAACCTCAACTTTTAGCGGATCTGCTGGCCTTATGTCTCCGGACTTATGCCAGGGCCGGGGGGCCGGCGCCGGGCGATGTACACAGGTGCCAGCGAGGGCACCTGCCCACAATCCCTGCATCTGCGTTTCAAGTCCATGGCAGCCACGGATAGGATGAACCGCAGGAGCTTCGAGCGATGATGCTGTGGTTGTATGGGTGCTGGTTAAGGGCACGGGGGGCTCTTATCCCTTCGTCGCTTCTGCGGGTGCGCCGGCCCCGCAAGGCCGTTTGCGAGCGTAACGCTCCTAAAATCGGGCGATCCAAGTTTACACATGTGGCTTTCATGTTGAGGCGTCGTCAAATCAGATGACCCATGGACATAATGCCGAAGCGCCATGATCAAGCGAACGACAGGTGCTGGCGCCAACAACGAATTAGGCGTGCACGGTTAGGGAGCTCCGGAAGTACTGGACGCTGCAATGGAGCCCTTCGCTACCCCGCACGGGGGATCCGCACCTCTGTGACTGTTGCACGCTTGTAGGGTACCGTGGCGAAGCCCGGAGCGACGTGTTCAGGCGGGGGCTTTTTTGCCGATGCCATGGTGCTCGCTTCCTCAGCACAGTGAGAGAACCTCAGGTGGTGCTGATGCTTGGGGATTTAGGTAAACTTGGTCGTGGTGCAAAAGGTATGTAGAGTAATAGCCCCTTGCCGTGGTCACATCGGCGGACCCGACATAGCAGGACATCGGACGAGCGACGCGCTGGACATTGGAAATTAGGCATACATCCCAGTAATGTCTAATATGTATTAAAAGTAAGATGTTGGTGGGTACTATGCTTCTTACGTTGCCGCACAAGCCATAAAAGACTAAGGGAGTTGCACGTCGACACCCCCGCGCAGCGGAAATAACATATCCTTGACAGCTCCAATCGTTGCTCGTTAAAGTGCTGCTTTTTCATATCCGAACTAAAACAACCAGCTACGTAAGGGGTCTGCCCCAGACAACGATTCTTGGCACCGTCTACGTCGGCAACGCCAGCCATGTCGGACAACCAATGCTTAAAGCAGATCGCCATGAACTTTGGTGTAGGAGCGACACTAGGCGCCTCCGTAGGTAAACTTGGCGCCGGCACCTGGTTGCTCCACGCCACGATTGCGCATGGATAACTCGAGTGTGTGTAAATGGATTACAGGGGCCGTGTATGGCACATTTGACGCATTTCGATTTAAGGTGGGATAAGTACAGTTAGCGTGGAGCTTTTGCACACGCTTATGTAGATTGTGGTAGCTCGGAGACCGACGTGCTGCCCGCTGCAGATCCCAGGCCTTTACAAGATTCGCCACATCGGGAAGACCACGATCAGCACGGGAGCGGTGAGCATTGGCGTCGGACTTCCCCGTTGGCGGGTTATAGGGTTCTGGGTCAAGCGGGCCTAACGCGGTGTATACTTGCTTCTCCATTGGTTGCCCATCGCGAAGCATGGTCCACATCCACACGCAGCCATCGCAGGGTATCCCGAGACTTTCAATTTACTCCTGCAGGTGTTCGGGACCTTCCTTGCTGCTGGGGCCCTCCTGCACTGTGGGAGGCACTGAGGCATGTGCCACAAGCCTGCCTTGCGTCATAGGCCAAGAGGCCGAAAGGAGACCTTGGGTGCCAACTAGGATGGTCATGGGCATTAGTGGTCGTGAGAAAGCCCGCTTTTCCGAATAGTTCGCGTGGCTTTGCTGACGCTTTCATAGCTACGGGAGCCTGGAAGATCTATATAGATCATAAGCATGGCTGTTGTGCCCCAGGGCGGCCTATGGACGTCGGGTAAATGGCGGTTTGCTTGGAAGGTAAGGCTGCCTGACGATCGACGGAGTGCATTGGGAGTGGAGGGTGCAGGATGGGTGTGCAACATCCGCGATGCTGCTCTTTCGGTTTCTGTGTGTCCGCTGCATAACGGCTGATGAACGGGAAGTCTCTGGGAAAAGGAGGGACTGGAGCTTTCTAGAACGCATGTGCGCAGACTGCTGCTTCACCCTCGTCGCTGCCAAGAGACGCTTTGGACTGGGGAGCCGCGTTGCTGCGTGCACTGTAGGGCTAATGCCGGTGTTTTGCTGCGAAAAGCTTGTGGTGAAATGGCTTGACAGGGACCAGGGCTCCAGGGAGGGCGGCGCGGAGAGGCTAGACCGGCTACTTGGGTCACGCCGAAGTTCTGCGTGTCCATCCCCCCTTTGGCTGGCAGCGGTTCCTGCACCGGATGTCAACCTGGGTGGACAGGTCGCGCTTGAGCGTGGCACGCAGGACTAGTGACGTGTTAATTGGAATCTTGAGTATTGCAAGTGTTCCCCAGCCGTGACTCATGAGCTGCCGTGTCCCCCGCGGCTCCTGATGAGCAGTCGCAGGTGACGATTGAATGTGTCGTGAGTGGTCAAAAGGAGTGGGTTGCACAATAGACATGCAGCCTTGTCCTCCAGATGGCGCAAAAAGATAGAGCGCCCGTGAGAGCCGTGGAGCTTTGTGGGTGGGAGATTGATAGGACATACACCATGTGTCTTGCATGGCGCGCTGCAGTATCACGAGGCTTGTCGCGTCACGACCAATTCGGAGAGGAGGCGAATTTACTTCCATCCGTCTTTTGCGGGGACCTTGATATGATGCGCCGCAGCTCCAAACAGCCCGCCACAACTGGTGATGTATAAACCGGTAGTTTTATTATGCACCCATGTCATGCCTATTAATTAAAAAATAGCGAGCGCGTTACTGGAATAATGCATGGCAACTGGCCTTCCCGAGTGTACGGTTAATGAACCGCGAATGCAAATCTCTATTGCAACTTCATGCATGCAGTTGTTTCATATTTGGCACGAGTCATCATTATTGACTGAGCAATCCCTACCCCTGTCTTCATTTACTTCTAGAAGATATGCGACAGCGAACACCCTGTGTCCTTCTATGCTTGCTGCTAATTGCCAGCGGCTCGCTCCTAGCGTCAGCTGCTAAAAGATCCAAAGGGAAAAAAGGGAACACCGCCGTGTAGGTCGCCTGGAGCAAAGGCGCTGTAGCACTTCCTTAGCAATGATGTATTACAATTCGCTTGGCCGCAGGTCAACATTTGAACAAGATGGCAAGAAATGGACGATCTATAAGAATGAGGAGGGGGTAGGTGTTGGTCAACCTTGAGGCAGCCATCTGGACCCCGATTCCATCTTAAGTGCTGAGCCGCGAGAGTTTCTTTCCGCTACTGCAGAGGGCTTTCTTCTTTGACCATTCGGCTGGAAAGGCCCAGTGGACTGATCCTCGCATCACACCCCTGACGCCAAACCAGCGTACTCTGGCCTTGCTGGTCTTCTGCGTCCCGCTGGTGCTGATGGTGGCAGGCGCTGCAGGTTACCTCTACTGGATCAAGGTGTGACCCAAAATACTTCCCATAAATTAGGGTGCCGCAGCGAAAGCCGCACCCGTGCTTCCCCCAGCTTACACTCTCACGTTACCTTTCCCGTCATCCCTCCAGAAAACGCGCCCCGATCTCTTCAAGGGCCCGAAGAAGGTCAAGGGGCTGAAGAACTGGTAAGCCTGCAGCAAAGGTAGCTGTTAACTAAAGGACGAACCGTCCCCCGCCCGTCAATACGCTGTCGGGAGGTCTGGGCATGCGACACATCGGGCGGGACAACACATTACGTCACATGCTCTGCTCCAGGGTCTCTGGTTGTTACAAAGTGGCCATACTTGATTTCAACACGCAGGGAACGTGCGCTCCTACCGCCAAAGATCGCCAAGCCGAAGGACCGGGCGCGGAGTGCTTCCCCCCCTCCGGAGGACGCCAAGAAGAGCCAGTAACTCCCTGGCACTTGATCAATGGCCATTTCACAAGCTACCTTTGGGATGCGTGACGGGGTGGGTGCTGGCAGTGGACTGTGTATTTCTCGTTTTTGACGGTAACGTTACACGGGGGGCCAGGGGTACGTATTTGGTGCCTCACTTATATTGCGCTTTCATCCTGGAGCTAGGGCTAGACGGCATAGAACCAGGTCTCCTCGCAATCCTCGCAATTTTGGCTAAAGCGTCGGCATTTTCGGAGGGACGAGGGACTTCGGTAGCGTTCTTGAGCCCCGCAGGCGGCGTTGCCAGGGCTGTGCCAACACTGATGTGCGGATCGGATAAGATTTGGCTGAAGGGATGGACCGCTAGACCAGGACCTCAGCTTCTAAGACATGTGTCAGGTCCACTATTTGTTAGCGACCAAGTCAAGCCTTATTTGTTGGGGATTCCCGGCTCATACGAATCAGGCAGCGTCCGAGAGCGTTCGAGACGCACGGGCAGGGTCGGACAGGTGGGCCCGCGGCTCAGCCGCCCGTTCGTAGCTCCCTTCGTCGCCTCCAAGCCAATACTTATCGGTATGCTTTTTCGGACAGCATTTTGGCGCAAGGAGGCTGTTGCACAGATCCACAGACCCTGTAACGCAACAAAGCGCCCGCCGAGGCAGTTGGTTTGGTTTATTGCCCGCACGCAAAATGTTATTGCTCCCTATAAGTCCCGGCTGCCGCCCGCAACATTTCATGAACGAATTGGAATTCCTGGCTTAAGTCCGCTTTCTGTTTTGGGTCACGTGAAAGGTAAAGTTTTTGGATGGGGCACGGCAAAGGTAGTGCATTGAATTTTTGTGGTATGGACGCATTGCATATGCATGCTGAACAGCAGAACTAATTGCCTGCAACATGGCTTCAAAAGACGCTTTGCAGTGCATGGTCTATGGGCGGGTTTCTGCTGAAAAGCCAGACATCATGATAACCTGGAGCAAGAGAGCACTATTCCTTGTGCTGGTGATGAGAGGTTACACCTTCCAAGAGTTTTGACAGCTCCGAAGTACGGAACGCGTCCCGTTGAGCCAACAAAGAAAATCGGGGTGCATGGCGCGGCACTTCTCCGGTTACTATGGCGAGCACGCCGCCAACATAGCGAAGCATCTTACATTTTGAGAACCTAATGAGAATTTCTACAATACTGAAGCAGAGGGAGTACTACAACCCTAGCATCTGAAATTGAGAGCTGTCGGATATAGGTACATAACAGACTCTACTTACCTATTTCAGATTGGGACTGTCCGCATAAGCATTTTCAAACAAAGGGCTTTTTGACAAAGTAGAAGTTGCGCAGCAGCAATGGTCATACGACTTAGCTAGGAAACGGTGGTACTGTCAATGAAGAATGGCACTGACTCTAAGCGGGTGGAGGAGAGCGCGTTCGCAAAGTTGGGGAGGTCCATTGCGAGCGTGTTTAAAAGCGCGAAGGTGATAACGCTTGGCTGGGAAGCGCAACCAGCCAATTGCGTACTCCTATACAGCTATCAGCATCTGGTACTCCTTTTGTCGTGGTTTCCCGTGCGCAGAAAGAGGTTGAGAGGCCCGAGCCGGCGGGCCCCAGCATCAATCCGGAGGCCCTGACAGCTCAAAAGCGCGAATGGATAGACTCGCAGGCGGCACAGGGCCAGCAGACTTTGGCCACATGGCCGGAGCATCTCTTCGAGCACTTCTTCGTAGTGGTGAGTCCCACAGCAGTCCCCACGTCAGGAAGAACGCAGGACCTTTTACAAGCACAGGCCGCCCCCTCTCATACGTTGCACGGCACCTGGATGCACGAGCACACCCTCCTCTCCCTTTTCGTAAGTCATCCGTGTTCTACTGCGGCAGATCATCTACAAACTCAGGGCTCCGAAACGGCTTCCGTGCCACAGCTTAATCCCACCCCACAGCATTGCCCCTGGCCTACATCGCAACCCTTGCTCTCCCGTACTCATGCACTGAGGAAAACCCCCATCCTCTATCCGTACGGGCGCTGGGTACGGAAATGAGGGAAGGGGAGAAGGGGGTTATCGTTCCACGGTTCGCAACCGGACGGGCTCGCAACCTCCTCAACCAGATCACGGCCCGATCAGTGCCCCTCTAAGCGAGACGGCTTTTGGCTGAGACCCTAAGAGCTAACAAGAACAGGAAGGCAACCACGCGGACTCGGGCGCTTGTGCTCCCCTAGTAGCCACCCCCTCCCATCCACACCCACCCACCACCTGACCGCGCAGGGCCTCCCACCGGACATCGAGATCACCCGGATTGCGGAGGACCTTTGGGGTGAGTGCGGGTGGGGGTCGGGGCCTTGCAGCATGCGGGGCAGGGATGGGGGGGAAGGGGGGTTGGGGAGCACCTGCGGTCAATTGTCGGTTGGGCGGGGGAATGAAGCCGTTTACAATTGTACGTCCTTTGTACGGCTGGGGCCTGGGGGCTTGGATCGGCCGTCGTTATTGGATGGCTTGGGGTTTGAAGGCATGTCGGCACGTTTTTGTGGTGTCCGGTCCGATCTGGCGGCATCGTGGGTGTCAATATGAAAATGTCGATAATGATGTACGGGCGATTGCTGTTTTACCCTCTTGGACTGGGCGGCCGGGCGTGGCTCTGGCATTTATCGCGTGTACGATAGCCCAAGAAGTACGGCAACGTCAGGACGGCGGTGAGCAGCATGGCGGCGCGGCAGGGGCGGCGGCAGCAGCAGCAGTAGCTGGCGTGGTTGACGGAGCCGGGGGCGGCGGCAGCAGCGTGGCGGGCGGCAGCGGGCGGGGCGGCTCCAAATCGCAGCAGCAGTACGACAAGGCACCACGGCCGGCGTACGACGCGCAGGTTCTGTTCCGTCACCCCGCTAACAAGATCGCACCTCTGAGCGATCAGGAGCTTGTGGACATGTGCTTCCCACACAAGTATGTTGAGGGGTTTAGGGCCCTGAGTGGAAACGGGGGGGAAGAGGAGGGGGGAGGGGGAAGGAGGGGAGGTTGCGACGGCCAAGCGAATCCAGGTGTAAGGCGCGGTCGCCATCTACCTGCTGATGTCGCTCAGCACCGACGCACGTGCGGGCGGGAGACGAAAAACCGCCAACCGGGTTGGGGGGGGGGAACCGCTGGGGTGGCGTATCCATGTGGTACGGAAGATGACGGGAGGGACGGGAAGGGAAGAAATGGTGGTGAAAGGGTGAAGCTGTGTGGGGGGGGTTGTCAGGGTCGGTCTGCCTGTGTGTGGCGGTACAGATGTGGACATGAGGGGCCTGTTGCCGCGTGCTGCTGCACCTGCGAAACCTGTGGTTGAGAGAGAGAGAGGCTGCTGCTGCACCGCGGTGGGCTGGAAGCACCAGCAGCGGTGAGAGCAGCCGCCACTTGCGAGGTGTCCAGGGGGGGAAGGCAGGCGTGGTTGTTCGCATGTACGGCATGCAATACCCGACACGGCCTGTGGTGGATGATGCGGCTCGGGGCTGTGCGGGCGGGGGTGGGTTGGCCCGTAATGGGCGGTGTGTATGTGCGGACTCACACACATTGTTTTTCGAATGCTGGTAGCGGAAGTTGTTCGCTTGGCTACACCGCAGCTTATGTATCCCGCCCCACTCCCCCCTTCCCTCCCTTGGCGCTGCGGATCTCGTAACCCTCCCGCCCTCCCTTCATACCGCGGACTTCATCTGCGTGTTAACTTTCACCCTCCGTCCCAAACCCCGCTCCCAACCCTTCAAAATTTATAACTTTGGACAACGGCAGGTAATTCCCTTGTTTATTTGTATATGTTTCCCTCACATATGTTTCATTCCCAACCACCCCACCCTCACAACCACCATTCCCAACCACCCCACCCTGCTGCCATCGTGAAGGGTGACCCCGGTGAAGCTGCGCCGCTCGCCCTCTCTCAGCAGCCTGCATGAGGTCGTGTACGGCAGAAACGCAGCCGCGCGAGATGACCAGTGCTTCATCTTCTTGCTCAAGGTGGGATACCGCCTGTGTGTATGTGCCGCAAGGTGTGACATACATACGTGATGCGCCCGTGACGTCGCGTGGCATGACACATAGCATGGCATGACATGACATGACGCGTATTGTTCTCTTTACCGTCGCCAAACCCCCGTTCTTCGCCCGCCTCCCCTCATACTGCGACGGTGCAGGTTGGCACGAACCTTCCGTTGTACGGCATCTGCTGTGCCGTACCGGAGGTACTGCACCGCCCTCCCCATCTGGCCCGCCACATGTTCCCCGCTTGTCGTATGCCGTTTCGGAGCGTCATGATTGCGGCCCCCCGGGTGTATTGCCTCCTGTCACACTACCCCTTCTTCGACCTGCACTTCCAGGTGGGTCAGGTGGGGGGGTTGTGGGGAGGTGGGGGGTAAGACAGGGGGTGGCGGGCGGGGGGTAAGTCTATTGGTTAAAGCACTATGTGTTCTTTTTCCCCAAAGTCATCACTAAAGGCGAATCAAAGTCGTCGCCATCCCCTGAAGGGAAACGTTGGTGACGACGAAGGGGAAGAACTAAAGGGATTCCCCTGGTGTACACCCGATGGGATGGGCCGAGAACCACACATAAAGGCGACAGAGGGGTAGAGGTGTCGCGCTTATCGAAGGGGATGGCAGAATGGAGCGTGCGTGTGGAATGCAGTGAGGGAGAGCACGGAGAGGAACTCGAACGGAATTGCGTAATGGGATGAGGCGCGGATGGTGGGGTTGCAGGGGGATGCGGTACGAGGTGGGAGTTGTGCACAACAACTGGGTTTTGTGGGTCCGTCCTCCTCCGCGCTTGATGGGATATGAGGGGTGGCGCTGGTGCCGTTGGCTGCTGCGAGCTGCCATCAGGCGTAAACTTGTGAAGATGTACCCCGGGGGAGGGGGGTAAGCCCCGGGTATCCGCCCGAGCGCTGCTGGGTCGTGTGATGATCTATGTCGCTCGATCTGCTGTGGCAGGGCAGGTGGATGGATCAACCTGTGTGTCGCCGTGCGATTTCCCGTCTGGGGCACACACACACACACACACACACACGCACACCATGCAGGTCCTCAACGTCATCCTGGGAATGGAACGTCTGCACCGCACCATCGACTTCAACGCGGAGCTGGACGGCAGTGGAGCAGCTGCAGCTGCAGCTGCACAGTCCTCGACCGCGGCCGGCGGCGGTGGCGGCGGTGTGGCTGGAACCCCAGTGGCCGCAGCCGGTGGCGGCGATGCCACCGCCAAGGTCCCGCACCAACCGCCGCCGCAGCAGCCACCTCCACAACAGCACACACAGCAGCCTCCACAGCAGCCACAGACACCACAGCAGCAGCAGCGGCAGCCGCCGCGGGGTGCCGTACGGTTGAGCAGCAGGTGCTACTGCCAGGACTGTGCTAATGCAATTGTGGACATGTATCCGGGGTTGCTACAGCCCTGGGAGCTCGACCCGCTGCGCCCTTCCCGGCCAGGGCGACCGTCTCTCACGGGGCGGTTGCTCTCAGCTGATGACCCGTGGGTCACGCCGGTAGCGGCGGCTGCGGTAGCCGGTCGCGGAGCGCCGCTGGAAGCGGTGCCTGGCGGCGCGGCTTTGGCGGCCATTCGGACCCAAGGGTCGGTGCGGCGCTTGAGCGACCCGGGCTCAGCGGGGTTCTTAAGCCCCAGGTTGGATTCCGGGACCTTGCCGGTGGCGCCGTCAGAGCTGGTGGCGGCGGGGGAGCAGCGCCAGAGTCGCCGGCTCTTGGGGGCCAGCGGCGCCTGCAGCGTATTGGCTGTGCCGTCGCCGGCAGGCCCATGGGTCTCCAATACCGCGTCGGCTTTGGCGTCGATGCATGGCCTTGCGGCGATGGAGTCTTGCCAGGTGCGTTTAGTTGGGTCGTTAGGCGAGAGGACCTGGCGTTGCCATACCGGGGTGGGGGTGAGGTCCCCGCATGTAGAGAGCCCTCTCGACAGAGCCATGACTCAGGGCCCCAGACAGGACATCCGGGGGGGGGCTGTCCCGTCCCTGTGTGGGTTTCCCTCCCAGTGCCGGCAGCCGGCGGTGGCTTCCCTGGAGTCTGTGGGGGCCTGTGCCCTCTGTATGTGTGTGTGTGCGTGTGTGTGTGTGTGTGTGCGTGTTTAAGTGGTGAGGGGCCTCGGGGAGGAAGCCTTTTCCCTCAGCCCGCTCGCCGCAGTGGTGCAGCAGTAGGGCCTTCTCAAGGAGGGGGCAGTTGCTTTTAGACCCGCACCGTCCATGGCCGCCGACCTGCAGCCCAGGAGGGGGGCCGGCGGCCTCCGTGATGCTTGATGCATCAATTGATTGCGTGATGTTGGAGCTGTCCGATACGTGTAGCTGGGGCGCATGTCGGAGTTCGCACCTCAGCCCTCTCCCTTGACCTCCACCACCAGCACCACCGCCACCGCTGCCCACAGTCTCTCTTGACATGCAAACCCACGCAATGCAACGCAACACAATGAAATGCAACGCAGGCTTGTGGTCGCATGCTGGGCTGCACCGCCCCCGCATCAGCCCCCCCGCCCCCGCCCCCGCCCCCGCCCCCGCCCAAGGAGGAGGAGGGCAATGCACCGGAGCAGGGCCTCCTGGAGGTGCGTGTGCTCCACCCCCGAGGTGGCCCCCCGCGCAGGTGAAAACACACTGCTTCAGCCGGCACGGGGGGCCAGCTTGTCGGGCCATGAGTGTGAATGTGAATGTGAATGTGTGTGGGCCGTATGTATGTGCATGTGCGCGAACCTGACAGCATGCCCATGGTTGATCCGGGCCGCACTTCCTCCCCACGTGGCGCCTGGTGGCCGCTCCTCCTCCGCCGCCGCCGCCGGCCCATGTCCTGTACCCCACCACCATCTCGCTTTCTCCCGTACGTTGCGTACCTCCTCTTCCTCCTCCTCTCCCTCCTGGTATTGCCGTGTGTCCTGTTGTGGAGCACTCCTTGCCGATCTACTTCCTCTTATACAGCCTGCTTCCTTCAGAGCACAGTGACGTCGTAAGTATCCGTTGGAGATGTCACTGTTGTCGCGCCAGTGGTGGTTCGTGAGGTGGGGTGAGGTGAGGTGAGGTGAGGTGATGTTCGTGACTCCTTCCGCACCCCAGGAAGCAGCGGGGGCGCTGGAAAGCGCTCTGGACAAACTGGCAGGCCTGCCTCGCGCCGTCGCCACCAGCATGAACGAGGCGGCAGCGGCCGCTGCTGTCGTACTGCGGCGCGTAAGCCCTGGGCCCGGTACTGCTGCTGCTGCTGCCGCCGCCTCGGGCGGCGGCACGAGACCCAAAGCGGGGACGCCAAGCGGCGGTGCAGCCGGTCGGGGAGGCGGTGGCGGCAGTGGTGACGGCAGCGGTGACGGCGCTGGCCAGCTGCCGTGCCTGGACTCGGATTCGTACCTCAGCTCCGACATGGGAACGCCGCATGCGGCGGCGAACAGCTCCGCCATGGCGGCGCGTGCGTTGGTGGCGACGCCAGCCGAGGCGGTGTCGGCGTTTGCAACGATTGTACGGGACTCCCTAAAAGCAATCGGCAGCAGCGCCATCAGCACTGGTCGACGGCGGCGCAGCGTCGGGGACGGCGTCTGCGGCGCATCCGACGGCGGCGCCAGCGCTGCCGCTGCGGCGGCGGAGCAGCCCGACGGCCTCCATATTCGTCGGGTAGGACCTGACCAGTCCGCCGCCGCCTTCATTAACGTACACTTGTCGTCACCGCTGAAGTCGTCGCGCAAGCTCATACAACACCTTGCCGCCGCCGTCAGCGGTGGCGGCACCGCCGCCCCTGCTGCCGCGGCGCCGCCACAATTGCCGCCGCCGTTGGCGACTAAGCCCACTGCTCTGCTGGCGTGGAACAGCAGCGCCGTCACGGTGGCGGGGGGCCCCGTGGATGGCACCGCTGCCGCCGGCGCTGGGGGCCTGGCCAGCGACGCTAGCGTGAGCTTGGTACAGCAGCTCATGCGCAGTGTCATGGTGCCTGTCTCCCCAGTGCAAGGTGCGTTGACGTCGGCGTCATGGCGGCGGTGGTTGTGGTGGTTATGGATGTCCAATGGGGGTAATCGGAGGGATGGAGACAGGATAGGGAGCCCGCACATATACACACGCACATGTACACACGCACATGTGCCGTACTCGTGTTGGCCGCCGCTGATCCCCATCGAACCTGCGACTCCGGGAGCCGTCTCACCACACGGTAGACGCGACGTGACGCGACTGACTGTACGACTGTTAACCCCTTCCGTACACCATCCTTTTCTGATGTACAACCCTCTTGTATATGAATCATGCTCAACCTCTCCGCGGTGACGTCAGACACCTGCATGTCGTACGCACGGTACCCCCTCTCACATACACTCTCCCTTTTTTTATACAGCCCTCCCCAAGTAAAACATATTGCACGGCACAAGTCGTTATTCCCCCGCCCCCAATGTGTCGTCATAAAAGGAATCTCCCTGAGATATCTCCGATGTCGCAGGAGCCCTAGCCGGGTCCGAGGCGTGCAGTCCCACGGGTCGCGCCCCGGGTCTGTTCTCCGGCGTGCAGTCCTGCATACAGAGCCCCGAAAAACCTGGCAGTCCGCAGCAAGAGCCCGCGGTACCTCATCAACATCATCATCAACATCAACATCAGCAGCAGCAGCATCAACAGTTGGTGGTAAGCTGTGGGGCAGCAGGCCCCCTGACCCTTGGGGGCGGGGCGGGGGGGAAGAGGGTGCTGAGGGGGCCCACCCACAGAACCACAACAGCAACACGAACCCCCCCACCGGAGCGGCCTTCCGCTTTAACTTGGGAGGCCTGCTGCTGGTGGTGGTGGTGGTGGTGTTGCTGGTGATAGCGGGGGCGGCTAAGGAGCCCTTGTGCTGGAAGCTGGGGCTCCGGAGATGCGGCCTCCGGGGCCGCTTCTTGGGTGCTCCCTTAGGCGTATTCCCTTAGGCGTTGTGGAGGGTAGGGTGGTGGTGGAGGTGGTGGAGCGGGCTGGTGTGCGAGGTTGTGCGGCCGCCCGGAGGGGGGCTCCCTCCGTGTTGGGTGTGGCGCAATTGCTCGTGGAGTGGAGTGGAGTGGAGTGGGAAGTCCTCTGCTCGAGGGCTATAGCTCCTGGTGGCGGCGTAAACCCCCTAAAACCTAACGCGCTCTCTTCCTTTCTCTTTCGCTAAATCACTCGTCCGGTATTCCGCGCTTGCCTGCTTCGCTTTGTGCGGATTGATTCGCTCCGCCTCTCCCTCCCACCACACACCCCCGGGATGGGGACCTCCCGCCGCCGAACTGATAACGGCCGGCGGGCCCCCCTGTGCGCTCCCAAACGGCGCAGTTGGGCAGTAGGAACAGCTCAGACGTCGCCGCCGCAGCGGCCGCCGCCACAGCCGCCGGCTACAACTACAGCTGGTCTTTGCTACAGCGCCTGAGTCGCCGGTCTCAGTCAAGATCCGCCGCCGGGGAGGTGCCGCCGGGGGGGTTAAAGGAGGACCCACGCGGCGGCGGCGGCGGCGGAGGGGAGCTACAGGATTTGGGAGCAGGCGGCGGAAGTACAGTTGCGCGGCCCCTCGACAGAAGCAGCAGTTACAGCAGCAAGGGTGACAGACATTACGACGGGTTGCCATCCGCGTTCGTGACGGCGGTGGATCTGGCGGCGGCGGCGGCGGCGGTAGAGCAGCAGCAGCAGCAGCAGCGGCTGGCGTCGCCACGGACACCGCTGGGGCACGACGCAACAGCGGAGGCGAACGCCACTGCAGCGGTGGCGGCGGCGGCGGCGGCGGCGGCGATGCTATCAGCAGCGCGGGCATCTGACGACTGTCATTTGGTGGCGGCTCCGCCACTTCCGCCAACGGCAATGCTGCAGGTGGCATTATCGCCAGATGGCCACACAATCGATGCTGGATCGCAATACGCGTCCCTGCCACACTCGGGCCCTGCATCGCGGAGTACGACGGAGCAAGGGCCGGGGGTTTGGAGCTGTGTCGGCGCCAGCGAGGGTGATGGCGCGCCGTCCCCGGCAGCGGCCGCGGTGCTGGCGGCGGCCCCGCACTTGTTGCTTGCAGAGCATTCAGGCTTCAGCGTCAACCCCTCGGACGCTAGCTTCTACTCGGCGGACGGAGTGGAGGAGGAATGTACGCCGCGTGGTGAGCACGGCGCCGCCGCCACCGCTGCAGCCGCGGGGCCAGCGGAGCGCCAAGCCTTGCAACCTAGCTTCACCACATACACACCGTCGGTGCTACAGCCGCCCGGCGGTCTTGCCAGCGGCAGCTCTCCACCCGTCGGGGGTTGGCGCTTCTCCGTTGACCTGCCGCCGATGTCGTACAGCGGAGGTGGAGCTGTTGTAACTAGGCCGCGCAGCGCGGCGTTCGTGCCGCTGCTGCCCGGGAGTCGGTCGTCGCCGGCTGGGGCGGCCAGCGGCGGTGGCGGCGGCAGCGGCGGCGGAGCCGCTTATGGGGGTTCCGTGCTGCCTCTTCCCTCGGGGCTTGCGACGGCGGCGGCGGCGGCGTTGCCGGGACCCAGCCGCTTGGCCCGTACGAGCGCCCCGCTGACACAGGAGGGCGCAGGGCCACGCAGCAATGCTGCTGCCGCCGCCTCCGCCGCCGCTCCCGTTACTGGTACCGCTACTGCCGCCATCTCCCCGCAGCTGTCGGCGTCGACGTCAGCAATGGCGCTTCTACCGCGCGCCAGAAGCGGCGGCGGTGCCGCTGCCGCCGGATGCTGCCAGCCAGGGGGCACTCCGGCCCCAGGCCAATCATCCCACGGCACCAGCAGTGGCGGCGGCGTGGTGTCTCCCCCTCCCGCCGGCGTGTCTGTCACGAGCAGCGACATGTCGCACCACTTTTCCCCCCGCCACGCCCTGGACCAGCTGTACGGCTATCCCCCGGTGCACCCCGGCGAGCAGATGACGCTGCGATTTGGCGGTGTTGCCACCCTGCAGTACACGCGGCCGGTGCTGGGGCGGCGTTTCACGGTGCTGGGGCCGCCGAGGTCTATCCAGTCGTACGCGGAGGCGGAGCTGGCGGAGGGACTGCAGCACTGGACCTCATCCATGCTGTGCAGGTGGGGGCTGTTAGATTGGGGGGGGCCGCGTCCGGGCGGCTGGGCGGGGGTGTGGCTGGGTGGTTTGCGGTGTGTATTGCAGGCGGGCGCTCCACCACCTCCACCTCCACCTCCACCTCCCCTCCCGCAGGTCTCTCTCCCTGGACAAGCTGCTGCTGGTGCTGACCGCGGTGCTCCTGGAGCGGCAGGTGGTGGTGTTCTGTCCGCACATCTCGGTGCTGACCGGCTGCGTGCTGGGGCTGCTGCCGCTGCTGCGGCCCTTCTGCTGGCAGTCGCTGATGCTGCCCGTCACCCCCGCCTCCATGATGGGCTTCCTGGAGGCCCCCGTGCCGTTCGTACTGGGGGTGCAGTACAAGACAAGTGACGTCATGGCCAGGTAGCTCCCCGCCCTGG